TTTTCGCGAAATATCGAAAACCGACGGGATAATGGCAGACGTTCGTGTCGGGGAACGGAGAAACAAAGAACGACGATGATGGAAGGGAAAGGCACGGGATTTTGTGCGAAGTAATGCTCGACTCTGGATACGATCCTTCGTAACCCGAAGAAGTACATATTTCTTAATTTCTCGATTCTCGAGTTCGAAAGTTGGTAAATTTGTAAAACCCACACAGTAAAGATCGACGAACGGTGGAAGCAGATCGTGCAAAAAAAATATATCGGAATAACGAGAAAAGCAAGAAGCGGGTGAACCTGCGTCAGGTTGTGAATGGGTGCGTGCCCTTTTTGTAAAAGCGTCAAGTGAAATGCTTTCCTTTCACGCGTCTTTTCCGCCGCGTCATTATTAGCTTTATGGTCTGTTTGGGATTCGCGCATTCCCTCGTCCCATTCAGTGTAAAACGATCGGACGCATTGTGTCGAGGGATCGTGTGTAAGGACACGTCAAGTGGTTCCCCACAGAGAAAGACAGAGAGCGCGATAGAAAGAGAGGGATGTCCGCCTCCTTTCAGAAAACAGTGCACGGTAGCTTCCATCTCCCATCGTTGAAAAGTGATTTGTTACCTTTACCTGGGCAAAGTAGGGGCCCGCATTGGCAGCCCACAGGGCCCCCTCACGAAATACGTCGTCCTCGTGTTTCCTCCTTGATTTACTCATCGAAATTCAAATAGGAGGATACATCATTTTCATCGCGTCCAATAAAAGTATCATTAGTGAAATGAATGCCGTCCGATCCGACCTCGATTCGTTCCACTTCTTTCTTCGGCTCGATCGTTTACAGCTTAGGTAAGCTAAACCGTGATTATTCGTGATACGACGGGACTGAAATGTTTGGTGGATCGGAGGGGGTCAGAAACGAGCGACGGACGGACGATTGGTAATTACGGGGGCCGGAAAGAAGGAACGAAATAACGGATAGTGCAGGTCGCGTCGTTAATAGCGGCGCCGAGAACGAATTGTATCCTCCCTGTGGCGTATTTTATCGTCCAGTCTTATTGATCCTTATTACAAGATCTTTACCAAGGCCGCGGGCTTAAATCGGTATAATATTTCACCTTTCCGCGCGGTCGTCCTCTCGGCCAGGATAATACCCGTCGTCGATGGGTCCACGGTGTTCCACGAATTAATCGGGTATCGCATGTCCGACCGGCGAAAGTGTGACCAATTAAGCGTCCTCTCCTCTCCGGTTCCCACGTTCTTCCAGGAATAGACTCCTCATTTCCACGTAGACCACCTTTGTCTCTGCGATTCACTCGGAATCACCTGCTATCTCGACAAGGAAACTCTTGACAATTAACAGATCATTTTAAAACATCTCATACATGATATCGCATTTCTTCTGAATACGTAGACCATCTGCACCTCCAGATATCTAGACCATTAGATACCTAAATGGTTCAGTGGGTTTCTGGAACGTTATTCAAGATCCTTAGAGTACCAACAATCAACAGGTATTTCAGACTCCATCGATTTTAAAGCACCTCGGTATACGAATGTTCGTTAGCGGGGACCAAAAATAGTTCTCCTTAATAACAGTAAAACTCGCGCAGAATTTATTTTAATAACGAAAGAATACGCGTTTAATTATCGAATTAGCCTTTCGGCGAAAAAAGGAATTTCTGTCGTGAACGGCGTTGCACAATCCAGACCCAGTCCCATTCCCATGATTCTCCGGGAACCGAACTTCCTCGCCACTTTTTTCTCTGGCCTGTCCGCTTTGATTAGCGACGCGATGTGAATGAGCCTTAAAGGAGGATGGCTGCGCCGCTGAAAGGTGGCTAGCTGGCGGCTGGGATCGGCGAAAGCGGTCAGTGATCGCTGGGCCCTCGTGCTCGGGCCCCTCGTTGCTCACGATCCTCTCCCCCACCTCTCTCCTCTCGTAGCCCTTCCCTTTTCTTCCTTCTCTCCCGCATCCCGCCAACCTTCTTTCTCTCACCCGTTAGATTCTCCTCCTACCTAACCCCGCCGAGCCCGCCCCGTGGGCCTAGTCTCCTTTCAACGGTGCAGGTGACGGGGCATTCTTTTAAATCTAATCAACTACCGAACCTGGGCCCGATGTACACAGTGACTCGCCTTAATATTCGGACACCTTCGTGTGCGATGTATTATTACTGTATCATACCTCGTTTTTCAATTTTAATACGTTGTCATTTTAATACCGATACGAGCGAACATCGTAGTTAATAGAAACATACAGGGTGTCTTCTTTTATTCACATGTTTCTTGGAACGTGAATGACATGTTTCGGACGAACATTGTACGTCAAGGACATCATACTTATACTCTTACCTGCAATGTCTCCAAAGATCGATCCGTGTAAAAAGCAATATTGTACCACCTTTCAAAAAAGTGTATGGAAGTGTATATTTGGCGGAGCTGTATATTGTCTATAGAGTTACATAATTGTTTGATATAGGAGAGTATATTCGAGTACACCCTGTATATAAAACAATAGCACCTCACATACCGAGGTGTCCGAATATTAATGCGAGCCACTGTATACAGGGTGTTACCGAACTCGACCGACCTGACAGCATCCTTAAAAATAGGATACCGCTCGAATCCTGACAAGGTGTCCACTTATCGAGCCGGCAAGGTGGCCGAGCGTAATTCATGGGCCCGGTCCCTTGAGCGTCCCAACACGAACCTGGTGTCTCGTTTGATCATTCAACGCTGGTATCTCAAGGTAGTTTCTCGGTTACGAAATACGATTTTCGCCGTTGAAAATCTCACGACCGGCGAGATCGATCGCGTCACGAAGAAGTTAAACGTCAGCCGGTCGGTCGATCTTTCCTCAACGAGACTTCATCGCGATGCGGTTTCGCCGATGGTTTTATGGGGTTTCTTTCGCTTGGCGGGGTGAAACGCGGGACGATTGCTCCTTACAGAGAAAATTGCTTCGTAATGCATCAAAGGAGGAAACTGCACGCTTCTTGCCATCGAGCACGTTGAAGAACGCGTGCTTCGATAGCCCACCCTGTATATACTGTGTGGTAGGTTCTCGCGGGCAGATCAGAAGCTCATGGGCAACTCTTGGGGCAAATTCCATGGAGATTTCAAATTGCGGAATTTAGGGATTTGAGAATTTGGGGACAGAATTTAGGGATTTGGGAATTTGGGGATTGGGGAACTGGGGATCTAGAAATTCGGGTCTAGGGAATTTTGGATCTAGGGAATTTGGGATCTAGGGATTCGGGGTCTAGGGATTTTGAGATATAGGGAATCGGGGATCTAGGGATTTTGGGATCTAGGGATTCGGGATCTAGGGAAATTTTGGTGTAGGAAAACGGGGATCTAGGGATTTGGGATCTAGGGAATCGGGGATCTAGGGAATTAGGGATCTAGGGAATCGGGGATCTAGAGAAGCGGCGATCTAGGGAATTGCGGATCTAGGGAAGCGGGGATCTAGGGAAGCGGGGGTCTAGGGAATTGGGGGTCTAGGGAAGCGGGGATCTAGGGAATCGGGGATCTAGGGAAGCGGGGATCTAGGGAATTGCGGATCTAGGGAATTGGGGATCTAGGGAATCGGGGATCTAGGGAAGCGGGGGTCTAGGGAATTGGGGATCTAGGGAAGCGGGGATCTAAGGAATCGGGGATCTAGGGAATCGGGGATCTAGGGAAGCGGGGATCTAGGGAATTTGGAACTAGGAGATTTGG